AAATCCACCCGCCTCAGACCCCTCCCAAAAGTGTAGGATTACAGGGTGTGAGCCACTGTGCCCGCTGATCTTCTCTTCTAAGCTTGCCAGGGAGGCTTCCTCCAAGTGTTACTAATAAGGTCACTTTCTTTATGGTACGCATTTTCAGATGAGGAAAGTGGGACTTTAGAAGCATTTCAGTTAATTCCTTAAAGTACAACAATAAACCGCAGGCTGTAAATTTTCCAGGCAAAAGTTCTCTTCTGCTCTGCTTGACCATGCACGTAGCAGGAAGAGCTGGCTAATACACTAGTTCACTCCCCACATGGGTTTTAAGGCACGTGGAAATGTCGTTAGTCCAATTGGAGATGGGCTGCAGGAATAAAATACCCATCAGATTTCAAAGACTTAGTATGAAAAAAATATTGTGACCATCTCATTAATAGTTTTTATATTGACTACATGTTAAAATGATAATAATTTGGCTATGTAAGTTTACCTCAGATATTTTATTAAAATTAAGGTCACTTGTTTCTCTCCATCTTTTTAAACTGCCTACTTGACACTTTGAAATTACGTATTTGGCTCACATTTCTAATGAACTTTGATACTCTACAATCTCAGAAATAACTCAGACATGTCTCCCTCCCCTACCACCCATCTAACCACCAAAATACCCTGAGGACTGTTTGTCTTCAAGAATCTCTAAGGCAACCAGTTCAGAAGATTGTTGCAATGAATGAGGAAGATTCTGCAATAATGAGCCGGAACATACCAGAGAGGAAAACCTGTGCAATTTTGTCCAATTATGGTTCAAGGGAGAAATCCTGTGATTTGCAATGAACACAGACCATGGTGGCCGCCGTCGAAGCACTTTATACTTGGCAATCATTGTACCACATCCTCAACTTTCTTGCCTCTGATCTCAGCAAGCACAGCATTGATTACACATCATCATCACTGTGTGACAGAAGAGGAAACTAGGAGCTTGGTGAGAAATGACCAGCCAATGTCTGCAAATTCATGAGAGGGCAGGGCTGTATTCTGCCGCTGGGTCCCACGCACCACGCAGAACCAGTGTCTTCATGTGGAGACTCATCACTGATCTGAAAGGTGACTGCTTCTGTATCGCACTCATTTCCCCACGGCCCATCATAATCATTAGGGCTCTTTTGCTTTCTCCTGAAAGCTTCAAACCAAACATCCTTTCCCACCCCGACTCATGCCCTCAAGCTGATGCTCTTGCCTCTTCCTCCACCAGATTCTCCTCCTGCCGGCTCCTGCATCACTGTTCTCTGCCTTCACCTCAGTGACCAGAAAACAACTGTTCCCATCCAAGAACTACCCTCTACTGGTCTCGCAAAACTCATTCCCCCGTTTACTCAAGAACTTCCCTCCTTCACTTATCCCCTCTCTCCCCTGCAACATCATACTGTCTCTATATTCCATTATTCCCATCAGGACCCCGGTAAAGTCTAAAGCCTATTTGTTTATTTATTTATTTGAGATGGAGTCTCACTCTGTCACCCAGACTGGAGTGCAGTGGGGCAATCTGAGCTCACTGCAACCTCCGGCTCCCATATTCAAGCAATTCTCCTGCCTCAGCCTCCCAAGTAGCTTGAATTACAGATGGCCACCACCACACTGTGCTAATTTTTGTATTTTTAATAGAGGTAAGGTTTCAACATGTTGGCCAGGCTGGTCTTGAACTCCTGACCTCAAGTTGTCCACCTGTCTTGGCCTCCCAAAGTGCTGGGATTACAGGCATGAGTCACCGTGACCGGCCTGTCTAGAACCTCTTTAAAAAAATTATTCTTCAGCTCCACATCCTTCTTCAACCAAAGAGTCTATTGTGTTCACCAGTGTATTAAGTGTGTCTATGCCAAGCAACCCAGTCCCCCAGAATTTGTTTCTTACCCAGACTGTCCACCAGCTGTGGTTTTGCTCTGGGTAGTTCTAGGTCTGGGTCTTCTGGGGAGAGTGACTCAGGCTCTAATGATCTCAGCAAAACATACCCCAAGGAACAGGAGGAGGAGGGGTAAAGGAACTGAAATCAGCTGGGTAAGAGGAAATAGGAAATCAGAACTTCTGATGACCCCAAGAATACATCAATATACTGTCTGCTTTAATGGCATTAGGACAGTGGACTGGGTCTGTTTAGAAACTCATGTACCTGACTGTATTTCTCAAACTCAGTCCCTGTGGGATGCAGAGGTTCAATGCTCTCAACATCAAGGGCCAAGAAATCCAAGTGTCCAGGCCCCTGCTCCCTCCAAGGGTCAAGGTAAAGAAAGGAGCAAGTACTGTGGTGAGAGGAATCAGAGGGAAGCAATGAAAGGCAGAGAAGGAGTCGTGAGAGATGGAGACCGGAAACACAGACAGAGGTAAGGGAGGCAGGGAAGTTGAGACAGTTGGCAGGACAGCGCGTCCACACCCATGCACACCATCAAGATTAACCCCATAATCCTCTGATCTTGTGGAAGCTCATTTGTAGTCTTCTGTTGCAAAGAAATAACTGTTTTTCTGAAATATTAAGCATCATTCCAAGGGTATCAGAGTGATATGGAGAAATACGGTAAGGCAGTTACAGAACCAGAGATAACGACACTGATTCTAAAAGCATTATTACCAAGACCTTGTTTCATTAAGGCTGTTTTGTTTTGTTTTTTTCTTTTAGAGATGGTATCCTGCTATGTTGCCAAGGCATGTTTCAGACGCCTGGGTTTAGTGATCCTCCTGCCTCAGCCTCCCCAAATGCTGGGATTACAGGCTTGAGCCAGGCTGTTTTTAATACTAAGAAATTTACAATTTACAATTACACCTCACAATGGCTTAAACTGGGGGTGTCCAATCTTTTGCATTCCCTGACCCACACTGTCTGCCATCACTCCCAGATGGGACTATCTAGTTGCAGGAAAACAAGCTCAGGGCTCCCAGGGATTCTACACCATTGTGAGTTGTGTAATTATTCGTTGAATATTACAATGTAATAATAATAATAGAAATAAAGTCTACAATAAATGCAGTGTGCTTTAATCATCCTGAAACCATCCACCCCACCACCCCCCAGTCTGTGGAAAAATTGTTATGAGACTGGCCCCTGGTGCCTAAAAGGTTGGGGACTGCTGCACTCCAGCATCCCACACGAGGAGAATGGGGATAAGATGGAGAATCACTGAAGATCTTTAATCAGAAGGGTGATATGTTCATTTGTACCCTATAAACATTTGTGTTTGTATTTTATAAACATTTTCTTGGGATCATAACAACAGATGCGTTTTAGAAGGTTCCCAAGGTATGAAGGGTAACACATGAAGACGTATCTAGGAGTGACATGGAAGCCAGCATTTTGTAAGGGGATTAAAATAAAGGGAATGGCAGAGGACATCTTTATGCACGGAGGAGAAGGGCCCAGATATCAAGAGAAAACAAGAGACAAGGAACTCCACCGAGAGTAATTGCCAGAAACATTTGTAGGTCTTTTGAAGTCTGACTGTTCTTCCTAAAACGGGGCTTCTGGGATACCCCTGCCTGTTTCCCATGAGCCCTCTTTTCTAAAACACAAGTAGATTTTTTTCCTTGCTACAGAATGGCCCATGATTAGCACACCAGGTTGGGCAAAAACAGAACCAAGTATATGTTCAAAGGTGATTATGGTGAAGAAAAAAAGGAAAGTCAAAATGGACTTTCACTTCTGTGTTTGCGTAAGGCTAAAAGGGAAGAGGCCTTAGGGTTGACCGGATGGGGATATTGCTGTCTGTGCTGCAAAAATCCCTGACCCTTCTGGTAACTGAAACATTGGAAATGGCCTCGACGAGCAGTACAACCTCCCCGTAAAGCACTGGACTGAGGTGGTGAAGCTAGATTGCCTGGACTAGAATCCCAGGAACACTGTTCACTAGCTCCAGACAAGCCAGCCAATCCGGCGGTCTGAAACATTTCCCCCAACTTTTTTTTTTTTTTTTTGAGACAGAGTCTCACTGTATCGCCCAGGCTGGAGTACAGTGGTGTGATCTTGGCTCACTGCAGCTTTGCCTCTTAGGTTCAAGTGATTTCCCTGCCTCAGCCTCTCCAGTAGCTGGGATTACAGGTGCCTGCCGCCACTCTTGGCTAATTTTTGTAATTTTTAAGTAGAGATGCGGTTTTGCCATGTTGACCAGGCTGGTCCTGAACTCCTGACCTCAAACAATCGATCGCCTTGGCCTCCCAAAGTGCTGGGATTACAGGAGGAAACCACTGCAATGGGCCACAAACATTTCCTATAAAGGGCCGGAGAGTCAATATATTTCGTTTGGCAGGCCATGGGGTCTCCATCACAACTCCTTGGCTCTGCTGTTGTAGCTTGAAAACAGCCACAAGCAAAGTTGTAAACGATGAGCATGACTATGTGTCAATAAAACTTTATTTAAAACACTACAATTGATTTCATATAAGTTTTACATGGCACAAAATACCCTTCATTTGATTTTCTTTAGCTGGTAAGAAACATTAAAGCCATTCTTGGCTCTCAGGCCATAAAAAAACAAGTGGTGGACTAGATTTGACCCCTAATTTAACTGCACTGAGTCCCAGTCACTTCACCTGTGAATTGAGAGCAATGATACTTACAGAGGTGTTTTCTGGAGCAGAACAAATAAGATCAGTGATACAAAGCCCTTGGCATGAATTCCAGTGCAATACATATTATTGATATCTTAGTAATTACATAAACCTCTCTTTCTGCTGTTTCACATTCTCTGTGGTGAACCCGTCCATGCTTAAAACTTGAACCACACCTCAGCTAACATTCACCAGATCCCTGTCTCTAGCTCAGACCTACCCTTGATGTCCAGACACATCATTTTGTGTTCCTGTTTCCTTTCAAACTCATCTCCAGCCTTTGTTCTCCTCACGTTCTCCCACAACTCCAAGGACTAAATTGTGTCACACTCCCCTTCAAATTCTTAGGTTGAAGCCCTAACCCCATGATATGGTTTGGTTGTGTCCCCACCCAGATCTCATCTTGAATTGTAGCTCCCGTAATTCCCACGTGATGTGGGAGGAACTAGGTGGGAGATAATTGTTTCCTGGGGGCAGTTTTCCCCCATAATGTTCTCATGGTAGTGAATATGGCTCACGAGATCTGACGATTTTATAAGGGGTTTCTCCTTTCACTCGGCTCTCATTCTCTTTTGCCTGCTGCCATGTAAGACATCCCTTTGTTCTTCCTTTGCCTTCCGCCATGATTGTGAGGCCTCCCCAGCCATGTGGAACGGTGAGTCCATTAAACCTCTTCCCTTTATAAATTACCCAGTTTCAGGTATGCCATTATTAGCAGCATGAGAACTGACTAATACACCCCAGCACATCAGAATGTGACTGTATTTGGGGATACAACCTTTAAAAAGGTAGTTAACTGAAACTGAGGTCATTAGGGTGTGCCCCAACTCAATATGACTGATATCCTTATGAAAAGAGGAGAACCAGACACAGACAGGCACAGAGGGAAAACTAGGTGAAAACATGAGGAGGCGGCGGTATCTACAAGCCAAGGAGAGAGGACTCAGGAGGAATCAACCCTGCTGACACCTTGATCTTATACTTCCAGCTGATAAAACTGTGAGAAAATATATTTCTATTGTTGTAGCCACCCAGTCAATGGTATTTTGTTATGGCAGCTCTAGCAAACTAAACACTCTGCTTCTTTTCATTGATTCTCATCTCAATGACAGCCCCCAAATCCACACAGTTACCTTGGTGCAACGGTTCTGAAGAAAATGGCCACAATATTCTTGGACACTCCCTCCACTGAGAGGAAGGCAGGCATATTCTATCCCCTCTGCCCTGGAACCTGGGTAGGGTTGGGACTACTTTGACCGAAGAATATGGTAGAAATGACTCCACATAGCTTTCAAGGCTAGGTCAAGAACGGCTAGGAAGCATCTTCCAGTTCTCCTAGGACACGTGTTCTGGGGAAGGCAGCCATTGTGCAGGGACTCTGATTCCCCTGAGACCACCATGCTGGAGAGGCTGCCCGTAGACACTTGGGGCAATCCCAGCCTCGTTCAGCATTTGAGTCATCCCAACTCAGGCGTCTGACATGTGAATGAAGGAGCTCCAGATGACTTCAGTACCCAGTCCTCTGGTCACCCCCAAACCTTTGAGTTTTGGGTGGCAGAGACAAGCATCTCCTCTGTGCCTTATCCTAATTCCCAACCCACATAATCCATGAACATAATGAAATGGTTGTTTTACATGCTATGATTTGGGTGGTTATACAGCAATCATGAATTATGAATGTGGGCTTCATAAAGACCCTTCATGCTTCCTCATTCTCCAGAGCTATCTGGTCTCCAAGCACAGTCTGCCAGGCCTGGAAATCGCTCCCTAAACCACCCCTCCTCTCTAGCACACTACTCCAGCACAGGCAACTATTCGACAAGTTCACCTTGATCTCTGGCAACTTCTTACCCTTTAAGATCTCTGCCTCCAACTGGGAACATTCTCAGAGCCATCCCTTTGCAGGAGGACTCTAGAACAGTGTTTTTTGGAAGCATACATCTGACTAGTCACTCTCCTCTTTTCATAAGCTTTTCGTGTTCTTAAAGAGAAATGCCAAGTTCTTTTTGTAGCATTCAAGACCATCCAAGAAATTGCCTCTGCCACCCTCTACAAACTTAATGCTCATTGCTGTCTCTCTCATCATCTATGCTCCAGTAACCAAAAGTAACCTGCTTTTTTGTGACCCCTTTCCTGGGTGTTTTTACTCCCCTCTGACTAGAAAGCATTATTTTTTCTCCTTTATCTGAGTCTTTAACACTCAGCCTAGATGTTCCCTCCTCCGGATATTGACTCTAGATCCGTGAATCTGAGTTAGTTGTTCCTTTTTAGGGGATCCCACAAGGAGCCAGGCATCTGCCTATCACTACATACCCCCACCCTATTGTAACTAGGCACTGCATTCTCACCCCTCTATTCAGGTGGTCCGCAGAGCCCATGCCTGATTGATCTCTATGTCTC